CTTCAACACAGAGCATCTTCAGAAGACAAGCTAATAAAATAAATGTTAAAAACCTGTATTGTTCCATATAAGTGTGTATTGAACCTAAAACACTGTTTGATACGGTTCGTTACGGGTACATGTTTTGTTGCACCCCTAATATTTATACTTCTCATCCAACCACAATTAAATTCACTCTATCCAGGAACCACAATTTTTCAGGATAGTATTTTTTTTAACAAACCGAAATAAAATAGGAGAAACAACTTTCTACTTCTTGCCTTTTCTTAAAAAAATTAAGGAGTAGAAAGTACAGATTGTGTAAAAATGTAAGGAATAGAAGTAAAAAGTAGGCTGAAAAATAATTACTCAAGTAAAGTACAGATAACCAAAATTTCTGCTTAAGAACAGTAACAAAGTATTTGTACTTAGTATAACTCTGGTTCTGGTAGAAATAAAACTCATTTTGTTCCAAACTCGATCCCATGATGCAYTGCTTTATGAGACAGAATCCAAAGTTTACAGTTTGTGACTCCAGGTCGAGTTCTGACTCCTGCAGACGGCAGCAGCTGGAAGAACGACTTCCTGTTTCCAGGTCTCAGTCTGACCTTTGACCCTCTGCAGTTGAACCCAGCTGTGACTCAGTAAAAGTCAGGAGTTTTTGGCTCCGGGTTTGTTTCTCGCAGCAGAAACAAGCGACAGTTTGAGACGTGACAGCCTGATTGTGGTTCTGAAAGCAGCCTTTGAGCTCAGACATGGAAAACATGTCAGCTTGATCTGCGACATGTTTGGGTTGAAGTCAGGCGGCTGATGAAAGTAAAAACACGTCAGTTTCAGCTGCAGTGTTAAAACCAMGCGGCAGACTGGTGTGGTGGATTATGGAGCTGTTACACCCGCTGCCCTGACCTGCAAAGATGTACGAGACAATTACTATTGTCTGAGCTGTTTCCATGGCAGCACAASCCTTTATCTCTCTCTGAGTCTTTTTCTTTTAGGGGGGGAAACCATGAGCTCCACCTTTATTCTCCTGATGACGCGTTTACTGACACAAACATGAGGCTCATTTCAAACTCAGGTGCACAACGTGGAGAAAAAACACACAATATGAGCTAAAATAACATGTTTGTGTAAAAGCAGGTTAAACACAACAAAAATGTCTTCATGCAGAGTTTTTCAACCAAGGAAAAATAAAAATCTGTTTGGTTATGTTGTTGAGCAGAGAGGTCACAGATAATAACAGAAAATAAAAGAGTTTCTGAGGTTTTCWGTTGTTCAGGAAAGTCTGCTGAACTCTGTGTGCAAAGGATTATGGGTAAACCTCAGAATAAACATGCTGCACGTGACATTTAATGAAATTTAATGAAGCAACACATCCTGATGATTCATCATCTTCAAATCTGTGGTGCTGAAAAARGATTCAGATGCACCAAATTATTGAATTTGTATTTTTTTATTCTTTTTTGTAAACCTGTAATGATCTTCACGTAAAAAAAAAAAAAGTTTTCATAATAAATCTCAGCGCTTTCGGATCTGATCTGATCTGTATCGAATCCACAGAAATCTCACCGTCTCTTATTGATTTCCTCTGAAAGAAAAATCCCAGAAGCTGAAAAACAACTGAAGGTTACAGGAAAGATTTTAAACCTCTGGAGGTTGTGCACTGATTTTATTTGTCATTTTATTAGTTAAACATAGATTTTTATGACCCAACTTTTGCTCACTTTTCAAACTGAGACTGAGGAGCCAAAACTTTCCTCTCTCTCKTGTTGTTGTTGAAACGTTATAATCAGAAGCAGAAGGGAAACCTGTCATATTTTCTTTAGAAGAGCAGGTAAAAAATAAAATCTGTAATGATTGCTGTCAGGTTCTGTTCAGTTCCGGTCCAGCAGGGGGCAGTGCTGAGCCGCATCAACCTGCAGGAGCTGGTGCTGGGGGCCACTCCCTGCAACATTACAGTCAGAATAAAACCCCTGTTCATTATTCCTGTCAGGGTGGCTCCTCAGAGCCGAGGGG